AGATGTTTGAGCTCGAAATTGCTGAACTCGGATGTAACGTAGATCGGAACGTTCGCGATGAACTACGGAATGAACTCCGACGAGCAAGTCAGTTCCAGTTCGAGCTAACTTGTCGAGTCTATCTAGTATTACGTACTTTGCATTTAAGGCTAAGGTTTCTATATATAGAAACTGGGCCCGACAGGAACTCTGACACACCTTAAAAATACGGCGTGTTGTTGGGTTCAGAAGAGACACGTTTACGGACTCCGTTCAGGTCGGCTCGTCCTTTTAGCTCGGTCCGTAACCGCTGACGTGAACAACCTTAGGAAAATTTCTAATTTCATCCGCACGTCAAATTGGCTTACCTCTCTGATTATGACACGTGGCAGGTCCAAATTTGCATCCAACAATATTCGCTAATGAATTATAATTATATATTTACCTCTCACCAATGTTGAAAGCTACTAAACAATACTGCACTAAAAATTGAAATGTGATCTGCCACACTAATTAACAACTGATAAAAAAAATATTGAGAGAGAAGAGTACAGAAAAAAAAAGTTACATAATATTTAGCTCTTGCCAACAACACTGCTCTGAAAAGTTGGAACGTGATCTAGATTAATAAATCATTAAAACAAAAAGATCCCGAGAGAGAAGAAAAGGAAAAAAAAAAGAATAATAATAAAAAATAAATCTCAAATTTGTGGTTGGAATTCATTGAAAAAAGTAATTTAAAAAAAATCTAAGGAAGGAAGATGTTACCAAATGATAAAAAATTTTATATTTTAACATTTTAAATACAAAATTAAGTGAAATAGAATTTTATAAGACAAAAAATAGAGGGAAAAAAGTTATTTTTGTAGGTCAACTTGAGTAAGGAAATGAGATGGGTGGAGAAAAAAATTAATCAAAGAGTGGAAAAAAAAATATAACAAAAGGATTAATGATTGAGTTTTTTGGCGAGAGAAAATTGATTTGAGAAAATAATTTGTAAAGGTGAAGATAAAATAGTGTAAAAGAAAATAATAAAAGATGGAAATCATGTGGTGTTGGCATAGTGGTAGGTTACTTAGGAGTAATTCACATGTTTCAGGTTCGAGTCTTTGCTTGCCTAAATTAACGTTTTTATAATTACAAGGGAGGCTCGTTCACATCTTTAATTCACATGTAGTGGTAGGTTACTTAGGAGTAATTCACATCTTTAATTCACATGTTTAAAGGGACCAGACCATCTAGAATTAAGTTTCCCAGGAAAAAGTTTCAACCTAGAATTGAATAACAGAACCAGATCACCTTCTTGAAGATTGTTCGGTCAAAGACGCCTATCATGCCACTGTTTAGTTTTTTCCTTAAACAGCTTAGCATTCTCATAAGAAAATTGCCTTTGACTCTCGATAAAGTTCTTAGCATCTTCTTCCAATAAGATTTTGTGCATGCAAAAGGCCGGGCTTATCCGAGATCCCTTGGATATCTGCTATCGTCCATCCAATGGCCTTTTTCTGCTTCTCCAAAATCTGCAATAAAGAATATTCATTAGTAGGTGATAAATTGGAAGTTATAATAACTGGTAAAGTGTCGTTATCCCCTAGATACGCATATTTCAAATGCGACGGCAATGGCTTCTGCTCCAAAGTGGGTGGTTCCACTATGGACGGAAGTAACGACTTGCATTCTTCTTTTNATTGGCTCAGATTGCAAAAGGTGAGACTGACTTCTAGATGTGTCTTTCCCACAGACGGCGCCAGATGTTGGAGCTCGAAATCGCTGAGCTTGGATAAGTCTTAGATCGGACTATTCAGAATGAACTACGGCCAACGGTCCAACACCTTCCTCGAACCCTCTTGAGACTTGTAAAATAAAGTTAACACTCCGACGAGCAAGTCAATTCTAGTCCGAGCTAACTTGCCAAGTCTATCTAGGATTGCGTACCTTGCATTTAAGGCTAAGGTTTCTATTTATAGAAACTGGGCCCGACAGGAACTCTGACACACCCTAAAAATACGGCGTGTTGTTGGGTTCGGAAGAAACACGTTTACGGATTCCGTTGAAGGTCCGCTCGTCTTTTCAGCTCGGTCCATGACCGCTGACCTAAACAATCTTAGGGAATATTCTAATTTCATCCACACGTCAATTCGACTTACCTCTCTGATCGTGACACGTGGCAGGTCCAAATTCGCCTCCAACAGACCCAATCGAGAATTTCCTAAAAAATCAGGGTCATTTGATATATTTAACCTAATATTAATATAAACTTTGAAACCGAATCCTAATCTCTAAGGCACCGTTTGACAGCCATTTTATTTTGTGCTTTCTGTTTTAAAAAATTATTATTGATTTCTAACCATTTTTTTTGGTCTGGTTTTCTCTTTATTCAGGAGCATACACTTGAATTCTAGCCCAATTTCAAAAACAAAAATAGATTTTTAAAATTTAATTTTATTAGTTTTAAAAATTTGGCTGAAATTTTACTAACTAGGATAACAAAAGAAGAGACACATAGATGAAAGTAGTATTTTTAAGCTTAATTTTGAAAAATATAAAACTAAAAAACAAAATTATTTAACGAAAAAAATATGAAATCAGAATCAAAATTTGCAGGAGTTGAAGAATGCAGTTATTGAAGGAGGAGTCGCTTTCAATAGGGCTCATGGTGGAGTACATGCCTTTGAGTACCCTGACTTTGATACAAGATTTAACAAAGTTTTCAACACTGCAATGCTGAATGAAACCACAATGGGCATTAAGAAGATTGTTGAGTCCTACAAAGGCTTTGCAAATCTCAAACAACTAGTTGATGTTGGTGGTGGCCTAGGGGTCACTCTCCAAATCATCACTTCTAAATACCCTTCGATAGAAGGCATCAACTTCATCCGTGATGCCCCGGCCTATCCTGGTACATAGTTTTCAAAAGTTTTAGTTTTAGTTTTAATTTGATCCTTACAGGTTTTTGAAAAGTTTTGTTATTGTTTTTTTCTATGTTGATATTAATAGTTTAAAGATGTCTTTGTCAGTAGTAGGGGTGTAAGTAATTGAGGTGAACTGAATCGAGCCAAGTTTGTTTGATTCACTTGATTTTTACAGGTGTGGTTCGGTTGTCTATTTTAACCTAATCGGATTAGAAGGTAGGCTGACGAAAAATCGAACTGGTTCGGTTCGGTATTAGTTTATTTCTCTACAAAACTAAACTGATTAAATCTTGTCCTTTTTCCCTCCAAACTCGAACCAATTTACACTCTTAGGCATTAGTGAGGAGTAATAGATATCTAACCTGGTAACTTATTTGTAGACGCAACTAATGAAATTCATGATATATCGAGTTAGGTTAGTTGGAAGAACATGAATTTTGGTAGAGGTTCAATATTTTGATGGAAAATTAGAAAGGGGTGTTGGGTAAATCATGTTTTGGATAGGTAAATTTGAAAGTTTAAAATTGTTATAAATCTCAAGGTAAATTGAATAAAGCAATAATTTGAGATAATGTTTGTAGGCGTAGAACATGTAGGAGGAGACATGTTTGAGAGCGTTCCAAGGGGAGGGCTATTTTCTTGAAGGTTAGATTTATCGGTCTTAATTAATTTTGTCTTTTAGAAACATAATTATATGATAAATATTTACCATCCATCAAAAATGTTCTTCATATTGTATAGAATTAAGGAAAAAAATATTTCTTGTTTGGTTAAATAAATTATTATAATCCTAAATAACTACTAAGCTTATTTGTTCTTATTTTAGAACAAGTAAAAACTAAAGTTGGTAGGAGATTTGAACTTACAACCTTATGATTGGAGATAGGTGTTAATATGGTCGAGCTAAGTTCATGTTGGCACAAATTTTATGTTTTAAAAAAATTTGTATTCTCAACTCAAATAAAATTAATTCTAACTTTAAATTCAAAGTGTGTTTGAGAATGATGGTAGAAGGGGTCATTTTGAAAAAGATATTTAAGAATAATTGATTTTTCAAAATCATCAGGAAAGTGATACTTTAGAAATCAATTTTAAATCATTTTATATTTTTCTAAAATCAATTTTTTAATTTATCAAACATGATAAATAGAACTAGTAACTAAATCGAAGTAGTCTTGTAATCAGACTAATATGTATTTTCGTGAATGGGCTTAAGTGTTTATGTAACTTTATTGGT